CATACCAATTCTTCCACCGGATGCACCAATGTCTCGGGGGACATCTTGGATATACACTACTGTAATTTAGAACTAGGAAGACTACAAAATGCAAGTACAAAAAATTGCAGGAGATGCAATACCTCCCGAGAACCTAAATTCAGTATGCAGCCCTCACAGCCTCCTCCTCCGCCCAACATTTTGCACCCTGCCCTCGAGAACATCCCTCGGCACCTACTGAGACCCTCCTTCCCATCCAGTACCCTTTCTCCGTCCGATTAAAAATCACAAGAGCACTCGAAGAGCTGTCCACATACCGGGGTGGAAAGAGTAAATAAAATCGCCTGTAAAGCGCACCATGCCCTAGCGCTTGACGAAAGGATTCCAGATCAATTTTCTCCAGGTCAATCGGTGCAGAATTGAGCGAGATAAAAATCGCAGCAGTTTCGAGGCCGAACGAGCACGAAAAGAGGCGTGAGAAACGCCCGCGCCAACTTTTCTGAAAATGGCAATAAAAGGGCCGTCACACCGCTGCACCGGCAAGGTATCCGGGGTCTTCAAACTGTAAGCACAACGTCAGCAACTCACAGCGCATTGGTCACGCGTGACTTAGACCTGGCGGCTCTCGGCCACCGTACAGGAGGCGAAGTGGACACTTTTTCCGCTTAGCAGACAGCCCACTTTGGATAATGCGAATGCACCACAAACACCAAAAATATGATATTCAGCACCACCTACCCGTTCGCATCGGGTGTATACCTACATATAGGGTAATATGCTGTGTCAAAGTTTCCAACGCATCCCCAGCTTTTTCCGCGAATGGCTCCGACGCGCACCACTGCTGGTTTCACTTTGCCTAAGATCTCGTGTCAGATCAGATAGCTAAAGTTGACTTCGCCTCCTGCAAATACTCTCTAATATTAATCATGTCGGCACACATGCAGGCATACGAAATACCATGTAGAAGTGTATACATGTCTCTGAATCGGACGGGTGGATGTACAGTTACCGGGTTGTCACATAGAATCTCCCTCCTGCTGGATGCCCTATAAGTAATAGCTCTGGTCATGCTTATGATACAGGAGAACGCGGTAAGAGATGTGCTTCGATCGTGGTTTGCACCGTGGATTAGCGTTCCTTGCGCTGGTCGGATTCTGATACTATGTATATTCCACGTATAGTGCAGGATAGAACGATCATCGACCTTGTCCTCATCATGACACTGTACCTGCAGGCCTGAACCGTCGTGCGTTTACCCTCTACTGAGTCTACGGCCCTTAACTAAGCAAGGAAACGCCGGCGTCCTTTACAAGAGATCGCACGTGGCATAAGCAGATCTAGGAGATCTTTCAGATTGAAGTCGGACGGATTGCCGACCAGAGAGGACGTTCAAGCAAAAAACACCACCAAAATCGCCAATCCCATCCAACTCGAAACCTCTTTTCACTCGTCGGGACGGACAGGACGATCATACAGACAATGTCTCAACCAATTGGTACGTCCGCAAAACTCTGATAGGGAGGGCTATATTGACATTGATCCGCGAACTTGACTTGCTGCAGCGCTGTTGTCCGTCTACGACAAGACCGGCCTCCTCGAGTTTGCAAAGGAGCTCCAGGCGTCGGGCGTACGTCTGCTCGGGTCAGGGGGAACTGCGAAAAAGATCAGGGACGCTGGGATCGCCATCCAGTATGTACATATCATCTGTTTTCAGGAATCGATCTATATAGGGCGGAATCTTAGGGATGTCTCTGATATCACCAAAGCCCCGGAGATGTTGGGAGGGAGAGTCAAGACGCTGCATCCAGCCGTACATGGCGGTAAGTCGGGACCAACGTTTCGCAGTACTTTCTAAAATCGCAACGTTCAGGTATCCTCGCCCGCTCCATCCCTTCCGACGAAGCCGACCTCCAGGCGAACTCCATCTCGCCCATTTCCATCGTCGTCTGCAACCTCTACCCTTTCACCTCCACCATCGCCCAGCCGGACTGCACGCTCGCCGCCGCAGTCGAGGAGATCGACATCGGCGGGGTGACCCTCTTGCGCGCGGCCGCGAAGAACCACGCGCGCGTCGCCGTGCTCTCCGACCCCGCGGACTACCCCGCGTTCCTGCAGGCGTGGAGGGCGGGGAAGGGCGACGTCGGCCAGGCGCTGCGCAGCATGCTCGCGCTCAAGGCGTTCGAGATGACCGCGCACTACGACGAGGCGATCAGCGGGTACTTCCGGGAGCAGTACGCGAGCAGCGATCTCCCGCCGCAGAGCCTGGTCGCGCCTGTGCAGCGGATGCCGCTGCGGTACGGCGCGAATCCGCACCAGAAGCCCGCGCAGGCGTTCGTGACGGAGGGCGAGCTGCCGTTCAAGGGTAGGCTACGTGTAGTTTCATTGTTGTATCGGAGTACTGACACTATGTTGACCAGTGCTTTGCGGATCACCGGGGTACATCAACCTGCTGGACGCGCTCAACTCGTGGGCCCTGGTGAAGGAGCTGCAGGAGGCGCTCGATATCCCCGCGGCTGCGTCGTTCAAGCACGTCTCGCCCGCCGGCGCGGCCGTGGGCATCCCCCTCGACAACACCGAGAAGAAGGTCTACGGCGTGGACGACCTCAAGGAAGAGCTCACGCCCGTCGCCTCGGCGTACGCCCGCGCGCGCGGTACGTGTATATACACACTTATAGTTGAGTGACTACGCTAAGAGTGTCCCCGTAGGCGCGGACCGCATGTCCTCGTTCGGCGACTTCATCGCGCTCTCCGCGCCGTGCGACCTCGCGACGGCGCGCATCATCTCGCGCGAGGTGTCCGACGGCATCATCGCGCCCGGGTACTCGTCCGAGGCGCTTGACGTTCTGAGCAAGAAGAAGGGGGGCAAGTACTGCGTGCTGCAGGTGCGTCGTGCAGGCTGTGACGAATCCAGCGTTTTGCTCACGAGGGAACTAGATGGATCCCGCGTACACTCCGCCCGCGACGGAGACGAGGCAGGTGTTCGGGATCTCAATGCAGCAGAGGAGGAACGACGCGAAGATTGACGCGAAGCTCTTTGAGAACATCGTCACACAAAACAAGGATGTACGTCCCGGGTCTTACTCCTCGGACCGCATCCTGATCTTCCGATTTGGCAGCTCCCGAAGGAAGCTGTGACGGACCTGATCGTCGCGACGCTTGCACTGAAGTACACGCAGTCCAACAGCGTCGCGTACGCGCGTAACGGCGCGATCATCGGGATCGGCGCGGGCCAGCAGTCGCGCATCCACTGCACACGGCTAGCAGGGAGCAAGGCGGACGCGTGGTGGCTGCGGCACCACCCGCGCGTCCTCGCGCTGCCGTTCAAGAAGGGCACGAAGCGCGCGGACAAGGCGAACGCGATCGACCTGTTTGTGACGGGCGAGCGGCTCGAGGGCGGCGAGCGCGCGCAGTGGGAGGGCCTGTTCGAGCAGGTGCCGGAGCCGCTCGGCGAGGCGGAGCGGCGGGAGTGGATCGCCAAGCTGGATGGCGTGGCGTGCTCGAGCGACGCCTTCTTCCCGTTCCCGGATAATGTGCATCGCGCAAGGAGGAGCGGGGTGAGGTACCTCGCTGCGCCTGGGGGAAGCGTGATGGATGCGGAATGTGTAAAGGCCGCGGATGAACACGGGATGGTGTTTGCGCATACCTCGCTGCGGTTGTTCCATCATTAAAAATCTGGCTACTCGAACTCGGAAGGTGTATATAGTTAGGCGAAGAGAAGTAAAAGGCGGTTGGGTGTTTATTGGCTATGAGATTCTGCTGATCCGGCACTTTCACTCTCGTGTGATCGCGAGCTGCTGCGTTCAACCATGAGATCACGCCCCCACTGTTGCACCTCCGGATGCCGGAGGTGCGGTATGCTGCTGTCGAAGAATCCCTGGAGGTCTCTAGCATGTCGCTGCTCATATTCCCGAGCTGAGGATGCCATTATCAGTCTCCAGCATTATGCAGCGGATAAATTTCCAACCTTGAAGGGCCATCTCCAAGCGATCAAGGTCTGCAATCTTGTTTGAGAAGGCCGAATACGCGGACAGCGGGGTCACGGACCTTTCACGAAACGCGCTTCAGCGGAGGTGCCTTCTTCGTACTCCTACAGCCGCGTGTTAAATAAAAAACGGCATTTCATATCTAGCTGTCCCGCCGCTAAGAAAGGGATTACGAACCTGCCAGAGCGCGCACATCCGCTGGGCGGCGGGGCTGTCGTGAAGCATTTCGTGAACGAAGTTATGAATTGCTTCCTAAATCAACGCGTCATTGTGGATACTAAAGATGCTGTCTCCCATATGTTAGATTACCGCTTCGAGTCTACGTTTCTCGGCTTTTGGAATCCCCTCCCGAGGAGAGATGTCCCCCACTGAAAGTGATGTTTTTAGTTTCCCATCATCTGTTAACCATAATAGATACTCACCTTGCGCCTCGGCAAGGTCGTGAACCAAGGCCATCATAACACACCTAACGGATGGCATCGATCCACCGAAGCGTTAGCATTGCATTAGTAGCTCTTACTTGGACACGTCCAGCCGGGAATCAGCCGTGCACATCACGAGGATAGACATCCTATACATATGATCTGAAATACTGTTCATATGAGCAGCGCCAGAGACGAGGGAGTAGGGCGAGCGAGAGGTCAGACCTTTCAGCGTCGGGGATCTGCATTGGCGTTTCCTCGTTATTTATGTGTGAATCCGCTCAGATGATGCAACTAACGCCATGATCAACCCATCCCGTTCTCTTCTGCGTCTTTACGAGGCACATTAGCGATATGTGCAAGGAGAATGGGGGTACTACCTTCAAGCGCTCCAGGATGTGGAAGAACGCCAACATATCACTGGAGGCATCTCCTGAAGATTGGTAAAGAGGGGGAAACACTCGCTTCTGCATGTTCTTGCCTAGAGAACGCTGCTCTCTGTCAGTGCTATGCCCACAGTCAAGCGAGAGGCACCAACTTGGGGTCCCAAATGGCGTGGGATTGTGGACTGTAATGGACTGACTCTCCCCGCCACAGGACCGTAGATCTCACGGAGGTGAATCCTCATGTCGGTCGGTTATGCAATAACCCTCAAGCATAATGACGGTATCAAGATAGGAATGGATAGAGAAATAAACTAGTATAAGATAATAGTACAAAATACAACACTAGTAGTGTGAACAACCCAGTCTAAGAACGCTCTCCCCGTAACCGACGAGCCAATGCAAGATCCTTGGGTTGAATGGTAACACGCTTGGCGTGGATGGCAGCCAAGTTGGTGTCCTCAAATAGCGAGACGAGGTAAGCCTCGGCGGCTTCTTGGAGGGCCATGACGGCGGAGGATTGGAAGCGGAGGTCAGTCTGAGGCTATTGTCAGCATCATCCTCGACAGAGATGGGCAGCAAGACAGACCTTGAAGTCCTGAGCGATTTCACGGACGAGACGTTGGAAGGGGAGTTTGCGGATGAGGAGCTCAGTCGACTTCTGATAGCGACGAATTTCACGGAGGGCCACGGTTCCCGGCCGGAAACGGTGAGGCTTCTTGACACCACCGGTGGCAGCCTGAGCGGGGTGAAGTCAGATGAGGGTCGATCTCAATGGGCATAGAAGGGAGACGTACAGCGGCAGTCTTACGAGCTGCAGACTTGGCAGCGAGTTGCTTTCGAGGGGCCTTGCCTATTGATCGACGACCATCAGTAAACAATGCAAGCCACACTAGAGATAAGGCTGTAGACACTAACCTCCAGTAGACTTGCGGGCGGTTTGCTTGGTACGAGCCATTGCTGATGTAGTGAAGAAGGTAGAAGAAAAGTCTAGAGGCTGGCTTGAGGCGGCGGAGGCGAAGGCGACGGTGGTGGTCGGGAGTGAGGGAGGGTTGCAGGGCGCGGGACTGCTTATATATTCCCGCGTCGCGTACGCGCACGTGATGCCTCGACGCGTTCAATCAACGAGTCAACGAAACCTTATAATTCAACACAGCCACCGTCGCGCCCTATATAACCTCCGACGCGTCTCGCCAATTCCAACATCCACTTGCACTTCGCTGCTCGCCTCAACAACCCACTCCCACCTCCTCAACCTCTTCAACAACTCTCATCGACATGTCTGGCCGTGGAAAGGGTGGCAAGGTATGTCTGGGTTCGCATCCGTCGAGTGTGAGCTGCAGGTTTACCGTTCTTTGCAGGGCCTCGGAAAGGGTGGTGCCAAGCGTCACCGCAAGATTCTTCGTGACAACATTCAAGGTACGTGATGGTGCACCACATCCAGTGTTGGGTGATTGCTCATTACGCTCCAGGTATCACGAAGCCCGCTATTCGTCGTCTCGCCCGTCGTGGTGGTGTCAAGCGTATCTCGGGTCTTATCTACGAGGAGACCCGCGGTGTTCTTAAGATCTTCCTCGAAAACGTTCGTACCTTCCTTTTCCCTTTGGAGCCAGCGGTGTTCACCGTTTCTCAATAGGTTATTCGCGACTCTGTAACATACACCGAGCACGCGAAGCGGAAGACCGTTACTGCTCTCGATGTCGTCTACGCTCTGAAGCGCTCAGGGCGTACATTATACGGTTTCGGTGCATAGAGTTTCATGTGTTGCTTGGACTGTACTCCTATCTGTATCATTATAATCTTATTATTTCCTTAAACTCTCCAACTTCCAGTGTCGCAAGTCATTCCGCATTGCACACGAAGCTCAATGCTACGGCTCACATAGGCTCGTCACCACCACATCGTACCGCTACTGACGACAGAATTTGAACATCGCTACACCGAGACCGCCTTACTCTCTTGTAGAAGAAGGTGAGTACGAGTCTACCGCTCACAGAAGCCACACCTACACCCCATTGTAAAGTATAACTAGTGGTCATATGAAGCACGCAGGACTAGAGCCATAGGTTGTCATAATGATCGTCACATACAGGGTATCAGGATTCAGAATAGACAAGAACATAGAAATGCATAGGCACGAAGACATACTCAATAATAAACTCTCGATGCACTGTGCTGCGCCGCCTCCCCATACCCACCCTCCATCCAAGCCCTCTGCGCTCCACTGTATGACCTAAAATGGCGCGGCGACTGCTCGCGAGGCTCGTACGCTCTCCACGACGGCAGTGGCGAAGGCGAGCGACGAGGCGGGCGAGAGGGCGTGCGTATTCGATCTTCTAGAGGAACGCGCCGCGAGCGCGGAGGCGGCGACGGCGTGCAGAATTCGCGTCTGGGTTGGCTGGGCACGCGGTACCGAGAACGGTAAGAGTCCGCCCACTCCTTCTCGGGACTCGGGTATCGCAGATGTCTTGACGGGAGGGAGGGGGAGCGGATGCGCCGTGCGAGAGCGGGAGGGGAAGGGGCGCGCCCGCGGCTTTGCTGGGGGTAAGGCGAGAACGATGATTGCCGAGGAGGGGATTCCACCGGGTAGAGGTATCTCGCTGGGTGTCGACCTCGAGGAGGCGGAGATGGCGAAGGCGCACGGGAGCGTCCGCGAGGTGGTGACCGCGAGTGCCAGTCTGATGGAGAACAGGACATTAGGGAGGCGGAGCGATCTCTAGAGTAAACGTCAGAGGGAGACGAGGAGCGACCAGAGAACGAGGGTTGTCTCGAGTGCGAAGATTGAGAGGAGGGACTGCTATCGCACAAATCGTTGACTTCGATGTAAGCGCCTGGTTTTTCCCGTGCCCTGCTAGTTGGCCTAGTATATGACAACTGCTGCGTATGTGGGAGAACTTGTCTGGTGTACGAGGAACTGGCGCTCGATCCTTCTTGTGTGGTGCTGGCAGACCGGGGATACGACAGCTTCTGCGATTGCGAATGGCCTTGTCTAGTGTAGGAGGAACTCGCGATCGCTTGCTTTGTGTTGGAGTTCTGATTCGTGAGCGAAGAAAGAGCATAACGCGTATCATCCGCGGAGAGAAGAGCCCTTGAACTCGTAGCGTAATGCGAAGATGGAAGACGCCCGCGAGCCGGCGCCGAAGCCAGGTAGTCAGTCAGAGCCTCGATCTCCCTAGAAGCCTTATCATCCGCAGATCCAATAGCCAAATGGGAAGGATTAGACAAAAGCATCCTCTTGGTGCTCTGTACAGCCAGGTACGCCTGCGCAGCGGCACAGATGAGAGGAGAGAAGACAGACTCCAGCCAGCTCCTGACGAACTCCATGCCGCGTTGGTTGAGCATCAGACTGAGGATCGCTTCGAAGAAGTCGCCGCCGCGCTTCACTAGATCAGGTTCGACGATAACAGGTCCACGACTGGCGACAGCCAATAAAGACGCTTTCTTCAAGATATGGGCGAAAGTCTTGTTAGAGACCAGGCCGTAGGAGTGCACCTGCGGAACTATGAGTCAACAGATACGCGTGGCGTCGGATACTTACACTATAAAGATGCGGCGTCGCGTTGGGCATGGCTTTCGTGAGCTGGTCTGCGATGCAGACGCCGGCGAGCTTATCGCCCATGAACGCCATGTTCTGCCACTTCGCGAACGGTATCGTCTGCATATCTGGCATGCCCCGCGCCCAAGAATAATCAAACAGGTCTGGTAAATCAAAAGAGTAGCCGTCAGATTGGATTACTGAGATGATGGCCTGCTGCACGGCAGCAAAGGCGTCGCGGTCGCGCTCGGGGATAGGCATGAGGGGAGATGCAGAGGGGAAGATGGGAGACAAGAGCAAGTTGAACTGCAGTGGCCGCCACACCGCTTCAAAGACGCTTCCCAGAAAGGAAGGACGGGGTACATAAGCCACAGCTGTTGCACTGCGCTGTGTTATGTTTTTCTACCTTTCATTCCTCCGTCCTCCCCCCGTCCACATTGCGCCGGGACCGGTTACCATTACGCCGCAGGTTGCCAACGACCTTCGTACCGAACTATTTGATGGAGCTCAAGACATCTTTTACTCTTGGAGCCCCGTGGCTGAAGCCAGTTTATATCCGAAGAACATAAGCGGCACCCGGCCTGCAAAGCTCACTGCATGGAGATCGAGCAATGCGTACAAGGAGATTTCCGTCCCCCCACCTCCCGGCGTGCGAGAGGGCCAGTCATGGCGTCTCGTACTGACTGCTCAAGCCCAGGGCAATCCGATCATACCTCTAGCAGGCGCAGGACTCGGGGCGTCCGCGTTTCCTGTGCTTTCGATGCCTATCCTGTTCAGTGCGCGCCATTCGAAGGGGAAGGCGTCGGTAAAGCAGGAACAAGTGGAGAGGATATACCGCTTTCCGGTTCCAGCGCTTGCGGAGCAGGCATTGGTGGTGATCAGGGAACAGACGTCTTTTGACCTCGATAAGGTCTGCTCGGCCCCTTTGGTCGTATGTGGTGTGTGTCTTGACCCAACGTCAGCTCCCATAGAAAATATGGGATAGCGGGATCGGCCTGAGTGGATGGCTGGTAGATCTTTTCAACGATAAAATAGCGACCGCGCCGCTTGTCCACGAGTTGAAAACGGTGCTGGGAAGTCCCGACTCCAAGAGTTTTGTCGAGCTGGGTATGTCCTTACACCGGTTCGCTCATCCCTGTACTGACGTCCTTCTGCATTATGCAGGGGCCGGCACGGGTATCGTATCTTTAGTTGTGGGCGCCCTACGGTCGTCACCTACGGAACCAGATAATGAAAGCCTTACGCGTATCCTCACTACGGACCTCCGTAAGTGCTACCCCCTGCAGTAGTAAATGCAATGCTTGTTCACCGGTCCCACCGCCAGCTTCTGCTATGCCCCTCCTCTCACACAATATCACGGTGAATTCTCATCTCTCTTCGCCTGCTGCCAAAGCAAGGCCGGAAGCAGTGATACTCGACTGGGATGAATCAGACTTACCCGACGAGGTTCTCTCGCTGAACGCTGGGATAGACGTAATACTGTCAGTATATCTCCCTTTAAACCTTACCCCCATCCCCCTTGCTGACAGCTCGGGCTTCACGCGACCAGAATGGCAGATGTCACGTACAATACGGCCTCCTTCCCCTCGCTCGTCCGCACCCTCTCATCTCTTGTTAACTACTCGGTCAGTAAATCCAAGACGCCTCTGATTTTGCTGGGATACAAGGAGCGGGATCCGGCAGAGAGGGAGCTGTGGGAGATGGTGAAAGATTTTCGTGTGGAATTTGCGAAGGTGGATGAACGCCCAGGGTCCGGCGGTGCGCCTGTGGAGGTATGGATAGGGACGGTCGTGTCTGGCAGAGGAGACGGGTTTGTGGGTCTTTGAGCCGTCTCCCTAGCATCCCAAGTCTCATTCTTAACAACGAGAGCTAATGCCTAAATATTGTCTCTTGTTATCTCATTCATGCCCCGGAGTTCAATAGCTCTGGAGAGTGGCAATGAGCTTTCCCGACATTCCTCCGACCGGTGCGGTACTCGACATCCAGTCCGTTGTCTCTTGTTTCGAGCCCGCATACGCAAGGGAACACTTGCCTATCGACGGCATTATGTACACGGTAACCACATGGTTTTGGCAGCTTATCTGCCCCTTCACGGGAAGCCAGCACGGGAAAGGAACCAGAGGTGCCGAATATATTTGGGGCCTGTCTGATAAGTGACGCGTCGGGCAGCTGAGTTTGCTTGACATTCACCTTGCATCACCCCAGCCAACGCCGACCTCGTCGTCTGTTAGTATAGCATCGAGTACCGCGACATACGAGTGACTATGAGGGCAGGTCTTGCTTTCGGCGTACTAGGCGCGTTTGTGGCGTCGACGGTCTCCGCGACGCGCCTCGGTAGTGGTCAACAGGCCTTCTCCAGTTACAAGTATGGCGGCAAACCCGGTACACGCCAGCAGAAGCAACCGGCGTACAGTGTCAATTATGACTTGTCGAGCTACGATGCTGGGCTGTTCACTCCTCTTGGAAGTCTGAGCGCTCTGGGAGAGGAGTTCACTACCCTCGGGCACCCCGCGTTCCCGCATTACAGCGTCAGGGTTAAGAAGAGTGATTTCTGTGATGGAACCGTGCCGTGCGTTCACTTCCGTCTCCTGGAGGGGTGCCTTTACTGAACTGACAGGGCTTAGGGCTTATACTGGTTATATTGACATTGAGGCGAGGCATCTGTTCTTCTACTTCTTCGAGAGTAGGAGCGACCCCGACAAGGACGATGTCATATTCTGGACAAATGGAGGTGAGCCTTAGCTATTTGCTGATGGTCTGACGGCTTCTTAATTATCCTGTACCATTAGGGCCAGGATGCTCGTCTTCACTCGGGCTATTCATGGAACTGGGTGAGATCCCCATAGTATCGCATGGTCTCCGCGGGCTCTTAATGCATTGGTTGCGAATTTAGGCCCCTGCAGAGTGCCCAGTCCCAACGGCACCGTCTTCCACCCCGAATCCTGGAATTCCAAAGCAAACATATTCTTCATCGACCAGCCAGTCGGTGTAGGCTTCTCGTATGCCGAGTACGGGGAGGCAGTTGTGAGCATTCTCGATACCTTAATGTACTCCGTAACTAGTGAGCTCAGACTCTGTTGCTGCAGAGCACCAGCGAAGAAGCAGCTAAGGATATTGCCGCTTTTGTCTCGATCTTCTTCGAGAACTTCAGCAGCTTCAAGGGCAGGCCGTTCCACATGGCTGGGGAGTCTTACGGGGTAATTTGTTCCATCACTTCCCAGTACATGTGTAGTTCGCTGATCGCTGCTGTATAGGGCCGTTACATCCCCGTATTTGCATCGGCGGTATACGACCAGAATGTTAAACTTCTCGAGGCTGGTCTGACGCCTATCAACCTGACCTCTGTCATGATCGGTAATGCTATTCACTGCCGCATTTGTCCAATGCCTGTATCTTATCTGGGATTGATACAGGGAACGGGATAACTGATGCGTTCACGTTGACACCATCGTACTATGACATGCAATGCACCCCGGCATCTGTGCCACCCATCCTCGATATTAGGTGAACCACTTCCGTCAGCTGTAGCAAGTGGGAGAGACTTCGCGGACTGACTATCCAAACTAGTACCTGTGTGAGAATGAAACAGGCCATCCCGAGATGCCAGAAGCTGATGAAGAACAATTGCGTGGACGTCTTCGATGCCATCGGGTGCGAGGAAGCCATGGCTATCTGCTCGATGGAGCTGGAGGATCCATTCTTTAGTAGCGGTCAGTACAGCAGCTTTGATGCCATACTCTATCTTAATCCTTCAATGCAGGTATGAACCCCTATGACATCAGTAAAGTATGCGATGGTCCCATCTCGGAGACCCTCTGCTACCCTATCACCAAGTACGCAATGCTGGCTGTAGACAATCGTGTATTTACTAACATTCTGTGTTCCAGGGTCATTGGCCAATACCTCGACCGCCCCGATGTACGCGCTGAGATCGGCGTTGACCCCGCCATCACCCGGAACTTCAGCTCTTGCAGCGACGCCGTCGGTGCCGCGTTCAACGCGGCCGACGACGGACTCTTCCCGACGTACCTCTACGTCGCGGGCCTGCTCGAGCGCGGCGTGAAGGCGCTCATCTATGTCGGCACGTACGACTGGATATGCAACTGGGTCGGCAATGAGCGGTGGACGCTCGCGCTTGAGTGGAGCGGGAAGGAGGCGTTTGGCCGGGAGGCCCTGAGGGAGTGGGAGGTGGAGGGAAAGGTTGCTGGGAAGACGAGGAGCGCGGGTGGGTTGACGTTTGCGACTATTGATGCGGCTGGACATATGGTGAGCTATGCAGTGTGAGAGTTTGCCCTATTCACCATGCTGATATGTGGCGCTTGTAAGGTTCCGTATGACAAGCCGAAGGAGGCCTTAGAAATGGTAAACAGGTGGCTGGCTGGCGAGGAACTGTAGTACCGCTGCCGACCCGATCAGTGCAGATTGCGACCTGAGGTGATCTTGTAAGGGCTAGTGTGTGGTAGCCCATGAGTTTCAGAAACATAATATGACTTTGCCTAGATATCGGCATGAACATATCGCGGTTGCACTCAGGGTTCAGGACTTCAGTGTACCTCCTTCTTTGCTATTGCGCCCCCGTGCAAACATGACCAAATATTACCTTTTCGAGACATTTATCATGTGACCTCCGACCCCTCCGGCCACGTCACTAAAAATAGAGAACGTAAACGCATTGCGTAAGCTGGCTATGCCCGCAATAATATATTTACATTATTTCCGTGTACTCTTGTGCTGCTGTAGTCTAGCGGTTATGATCACCTCTGCAAGTATCGGAGGTGTCAGGTTCGATTCTTAGTGATGCAAGTTTTTTCTCCTTTGCAGGGTTAGGGTTTATCAAGTACCTTTATGCAGTATTGCTTTTCTGTAGTATCTGTGTCCCCTATATATATTACAGGTCTACATATTTGAATACAAAATTTTATGTTCCTATCCTCTTGGTCCCCAGTGGTTACTCTAACTAGTCGGACATGCGCCCGGAGGGAAGTCCGCGTTTGCCGGCGTCACATGACTTTCTTCTCGATATGGTATCTTTGTACATGTTTGCACGGGGGCGCAGTAAAGCTACCTGTGTACCTCATGCCGTTGCCATATTCGGACTGACATGAGCACATATGGTATCTGTCACAATCACGTGCCGCTGAACGCGTCGCGAGCGAGTTGGAATCTTGACCGCGTTCACAATGGCCACCAACGCGTCGACGCAGTCCGGGAGCAAACGATGGACACACTTTCATTCAGCATTGCAGCTCGCAATACAACGAGTCTCCCATAAATGGACGTGCGTAACACTAGATGCTTGATGCTGGCTGCACTCGATGAACGCTGGGTTCTGTCACAGATATGAGGACTTCACGGAATGCTTCCCGCAATACTGTGAGAAACAACCCGAGGTCTCGTCCTCGCTGCATACAACGCTTGCTCGGCACATGGAAGCACAGATATCTGTATGACCCTCGTCACCATCTGTTGTTGCTTTCACAGCTCACCGCGGAGTAGGCTGCAGCAGATGAACTGCTGGCTGAATATAACGCAAAGGAGAAGATCGATATCCTGCACGCAGTGGTTACGGAGGCTCGTGCCCGGAGACATATGGGTGGCGGAGAGGCGAAGAGGAAAGACCTATGGCGAGAAGATCTGCAACCCAGACAGGCTGTCCGCGCACGCACGATACCCGTGCTGGAGCAGGAAGTTGAGAGGCTGAGGAGAACTTTGCGGGATGTGCGTCGGCTATTTATTTGCTATCATGGGCTTGAGCAGTGACCTGATCTGTTGACTCGGGATTTTCTTTCTGCAGCTGGAGGAGAGGAACCTGCGACTGCAGGGACAGCTTGAGGCCAACGTCAGAGCGCGGAAGAAGGCCGACGATCAAGTTTCACAATTGCTTGATATTGTAGACCGGGTACGTCTGTCCCTTTTTACTTGCTACATAGTGATATTCATCGTTGAATGGCTCAGATTTACGCCGAATGGAACAAGTTGCCGATGGAACAGATACAGGAGTGGACCCTGCAAACTGCGGAAATCACAAGTGCCGCGCGGCCTCGCTGATCTGTCACCCTTTTCCTAGAAAGTTCCTGTCCCCCGTATGTATGGTCGTATCTATCTGCATTGTATACCACTGTATTTGTGCTGCCCATTTGTATTCCAGCGCCTACTATCCCCTAGACATGGTCGTCCTCTCTCCACGCCAAGGAGTCGGGATTCTAAGTTATACTTCGACGAACTCTCCTGGCCGGCATTCAAAGTGTACCCCATGTCTGCTGGGAAAGCGCGCCTATTCTCGGCACTTCGTTGATCTCATTGGTCCTGATTGCGTGCGTATACGGGCAAAAATAGTGTTTGGAACTTGGAATTTTCCGACAACAAAGTGGCAACTTCCTGATTCTGGTGTCGAACTCATCACCGGGATATCCCAGCGAGCGCTAGGACGGACCTTTGAGGCTCTAGGTTCCTGAGTAAATGGCAAGCTGGGAAAAGGTTCGGACGCACTGCTGTCACTCATGTATACGCCTAGGCAAGATGCTTCCCCACCGCAGCCTTTCAAGCACTTACGGCTTATTCACCTCAAGGGTCTACCGCTGACAATTACCATGTCGACTGACACCAAAGCTGCTCTCCCATTACGCTTTGCTGTAGTTGGAGCCGGGATCGCAGGTTTGGCGGTGGCCTACCGTCTACGGAAATCGGGCTATAAGGTATGTGTCCTCGAGAAACGGGAAGGACCTGCGGGGGTGAGTATCTGTCTCGTGTGGTGCAATCACCTTCACAGTGACAATGGGACCTATTCTGCCAAGCTAGGGAGAAAATTGCGTGTGCTCCCCGCCTAATATGACCAGGATACTATATCGCTGGGGGCTGCGGCCCCAGCTTGAGGAGGTGGCGCTTAAGCGCAATGGGATTACCTTCAGACAGCGTAGGCTCGTCCCTATTCGACGGTGTTGACGGTAATCATTGTGGCTTTGATAGGCGACACCGGACAACCTTTCGCAGACTTTGTGTATTATGATTGGATCGTGAAAGATTTGGGAGCCGACTTCCTGTTTATGAGAGTAAGTGTTAGATATCATCGCGTTGAAAACGAATGCCATAGGCTCTATGGATTAGCATGGCGATCTCTACCGAATCCTATACGCCCTGGCTGTGGAGGCAGGCGTCGAGATACGCTTCGGTGCTGAAGTAGTTGAGGTGGACCCGTGGGCGCCGGCGGTCACTACGTCTACCGGTGAGGTACTGCAAGCGGATGTTGTGCTCGGCGCAGACGGGCTGGGAAGCGTGGTTCGTAAATGTGTGGCGAAAGGCCAGACGTGTTCTGAGCAGGAAGAAGAGATCGGCCCGGTGGCCATTGGAGCGTACGTTCACCTCTTCAGGCAGGCTTCCAGGACTTGAAAACAATTTCATTCTCGCCAAGCACTGTGTTGGGCGTAGAGACGATGTCAGAGGATGATGAACTCCGCGACCTGCTGACAACACCCGTGGTACGTGTTCTGGCGGTTGGACGTATAACGTTGTACAACCGTACCAAGTGATTTGTCGATAATTAGGCCAATCTTTGGATGGGGAAAACATACGCGCTGTGGGGTTGCCCCTTGGTAAGCTGAATTTACAACCCCTTGAAGACTGTACACTTATCAGGAACATCAGCCCGGATACGGCGGATACTCCCTGAAAATCGCTACGCCTCCCGATGGCCACAACATCAGCGAAGAATATGACCAACCTCGCAGCTCAGAGGAGTTTCGGTTGGATCTGAGCTTGTTCGAACCGAGGTACTCAAGCACTGTCGTCTTGATGGGAGCCCAAACTAACGGCCATGTCGGTTGCAGACTACAGAAACTGTTACGGCGTACGCAAACCTGGTATCCTTCAATGTGGAAGATTCGCCAACCTCTCATATCGCTTGTGCACGAGAGCAAAAAGGTAGCCCTTCTAGGCGAGGCTGCGCATACGATACCGGTGAGTTCCCGAGCAGGTCGGTGGGCTAAGGGACTGACGTGCTTTCCGTGTCACCTCTGTAGCCGAATATGACGCAAAACACTGCTCTGGCCATCGAGGATGCGGCAGCATTGTCAAGTCTGTTTTCCCGAATACGTGAGCATAATGAGATCGGGCGATTCGTGTCTGCCTACCACGAAGTCCGCTACCGTCCGGCATACGACGTTGTCCATTCAGAGGTGGGCAACATGGGGCTGATCAGTGGGATGGAACACCCGTACGGCGAACAGCCCGCGCAGACGGACGCCGCCCTCCGAAGTCCTACTGTGGTCGGCATCAAGGACGTTATACCAAGCGCCGAGTTCGCTTATGGGTGGGATGGGATGATCAAGCTGTTCAACCACGATGCCGAGGACGATGCCGAGGAGTGGTGGCATACGTGGGGGAGTCTCATGAATATGCATGCCGAGGATTCAGCAGGAAAGGTGCGCGACGCGGGGACGGCAGACTCAGACGACAAAGCTGGAGGTCGAGCGGGATCGGATTCACAGCTGTCTTTGACAATATAAAGCTGACTATGCAGGAGGCAATTGTAACGTGAAGCAGCACATAGGCACAGATCTCAAACCTTGCATCCTTATACTGCACATCGGTTCTCCTGGTAGCGTTGTTACCTGTTTTCACGCTGCTGCTCGGGCTACGCCTCGGAGGTCCGTATTGCAGGGAGACGATCTACCTTCGAGCCACTTATACACTCAGTCCAGTAAGTCAGACTCTTGATGCCCGATATGTCAGTACTAGTCGATAGCCACGCCACCTTCCCGGCAAAATCGGACTTTCGCGTCGAGAATTTGAATCCCCTCTCGCATATATTTGTTCGCTGCATATTTAGCAGGGAGAGGATGTGCATGTGTCGTCTCGATGACCAAAGCGATCCTGTAAGACGCCAGGTAGACTGACTGGTTATAAGAGGGCGAACCTGCTTGTGAGCACAATTGACATACTGTAGGCAGGGCCGGCGCCGACGAAGAACAGACACTGTCCGCTCAAAACTTCCGTAGCATGAGCCATTGTGACGATTGCTTTAAAGGTGTGTATGCATCTTGATGAATCGAGCAGGGTAATAACACGCGTACGCTCGTACCTCTCCTCATAGCTGTCCGGCATGAGGGCACTCCGGAAGGTCGTACTGTAGTCACTATGCCTTGAATCTGTTCACTAACCAGTATTACCTCCCGCAGGCAAAATTGAGACAATCGGCGGAGTTGAGTGCTATGTGGCCACTCCTTCGGGCGAATGCCCTAAGAACAAGGTCCTTCTATTCCTCTCCGACGTATTTGGGCTCGCGTTAGTGAACAACAAGGTGAGAGATCTAACGATCTGCCCATCGACCCACCAGATTTTTGAATGCGGGAAGGATAGCTGCTCGCCGATGACTTTGCTAGGAACGGCATCAAGGTTCGTTTTCAAGGTATCCAAAGGGTATTCCGGCGGATGGGATTGCCTCATACTTTGATTCCCTATGCAGACAATCATTCCGGACTACTTCGGTGGTGACCCCAGGATCCCGGACGCAGACGAGGTGTGCTGACTCGTACCTGCCACGTACTGTTCTCGGCTGACATGCACGTAGCGCACATTCAGTCGGGAGGAATGGCTGAGCAGACACGGTCCCGAACAGACACGTCCGTACCTCGATAAGGTGATAGCGGCCCTCAAGGAGCAAGGCGTTACTGATTTTGGAGCCGCTGGGTACTGCTTCGGCGGTAAGCATGCCATCCGTGGTGATCAGGTCCTAGGACCATTCCACTGACCCCATCTCAGCTCCCTACTGCTTCCAGCTCGCGTATGAGGGAATAGCGAAGGCCGTCATGGTCGCGCACCCTTCTCGTCTTCAGATCCCCAGCGATCTCGAGGTAAGCGTGTTCGTTGTCGTGGCCAGGAGCCTGAGATAACCGGAGGGCTCAGAAATACTTGGAGCTATCCAGAGCACCGCTCTTGATCAACTCCTGCGAGATCGACCCGATGTTCCCGCCGGAGACACAGGCGAAGGCTGATGAAATCCTTGGTGGGGGAAAGTTCAAGCCCGGATACGAGAGGTTGTATTGGGAAGGGTGCACGCACGGCTTTGCGGTCAGTCCATGAGCCCCAACCCGTTTGTAGAGACACTGAACGCCTCATGTTTCCTTAGGTCCGTGGTGATATGAGTAATCCGAAGGTCAAGGCTGGAAAGGAGGGTGCATTCAAGAGCTCCGTCGAGTTCTTTAAGAAGTATCTGTATTGACGACGGCGAAGTTGGTAACTCTTCCTGAGTATTCGGACGCCAGGGCTCCGGATACTAATGATATGACCCGAGCCTCGTGAATGAGCGTGAATGTAGACGCGTCTGTCACATGATCATGGTCCTTGATCACGTCTCTACCGGAGTACGTAACACTTTCACGTGCCTGTGACTGTCTGTCACATCTATTAAGGCCTTGAAGCCAACCCAAATTTCCTCGACCATCGACGCAGTCTCGGGACTGCACTCTTTCGCCGCTATCCCACCGGCGTGGCGAGTAACGGAGCGATGGCAGAGCAGATCGTTCTCTTCTGTTCGCCGGTCATTTTTATGTGCGGTGTTTACGCTTGGGTCCTTTCGGTGCGGGCTCCGGAGCTCAGAGGGAATCGCACATTCATTCATTCATAGATTTATGCTATTCGACGATAGACTGCTATGAAGCCCGTTTCTCCTTATAGCTGTGCATGCAAGACTGCTGTAGAGATGCTGTGAGATAGAAGCATATCATTGAGTCAGAAAGAGGTTTATAAACCGCCCTGCAAAGTCGACACCAGAGCTCGCGCGACGATGTCTCGGACCTTGTGGAAGCGGTTCTCCTCTACCATCACAACGAGACCAGGCCCACCTAAAGCGCACCACCACGCTCCTCTACCCGACTCTTCGTTTCCCAAAGGCTATCTCGCGACAGGCGTACACTGCGGGATCAAGAAAAATGCACAAGTGCTAGACCTCGGTATCATTCTCTCTACCCGCCCTGCGTCGGCCGCGGCGTGCTTCACCCGGAACGCGTTCCAAGCTGCTCCTGTCGTAGTCTCGCAGGAGGTGCTCCAGAAGAATGGGGGGAAGGCGAGAGCGATTGTGGTCAACAGCGGGTGCGCGAACGCGGTGACGGGCAAACAGGGACTGGACGATGCGTGGGCGATGGTGAAGACCACTGACACCCTGCTCGACCCTCAACCGGATGCTGGGCGGAATGAAACTCTGGTAATGTCGACAGGCGTGATCGGGCAGACCCTGCCCATATCGAAGATCATCGAGGGCATCAAGTCTCAGGCTTCCAAGCTGGGGACGGGCTTTGCAGCATGGGAGCGCGCTGCTCGCGCGTTCATGACGACGGATACATTCCCGAAGCTGCGCTCGCGGGTGTTCACGATCAAGGGGCGGGAGTACCGCATGGCAGGGATTGACAAGGGTGCGGGGATGATCCACCCCGACATGGGTCCGCCGTCTGGGACAGGCCAATTGCATGCGACGCTGCTGGGGTGCATCGTCACGGACGCGGCGGTCTCACCTAGGAGCTTGCAGAATGCTTTGGCGTATGCCGTCGACCGGAGCTTCAACTCGATTAGCGTCGACGGAGATATGTCGACGAATGATACGATCATTGTATTGGCTAATGGAGCAGCTGTTGAAGGGACGAAAGCAGAAGAGATTGACGAAGAGCGGCATCCAGACGCGTACGAGGCGTTCAAGCAGGAGCTGACCTCGTTTGCAATCGACCTCGCCAAGTTAGTCGTCAGAGACGGTGAGGGAGCCACAAAATTCGTTACGGTCACTGTCGAGGTGCGTCCTTCAGGCTGTGATACGTTTTAGTTGATATACGCGTGACATATGTATCGTACAGGGCGCGCCAACATACTCTGACGCGCACAAAATAGCGTCTCGTATATCCACTTCAGCCCTAGTCAAGACAGCTCTGTATGGTGAAGACGCCAAGTAAGGGTCTTTTCTTACATCCGAAACATCGCTCATCACTCCTCTTCTCCCTAGCTGGGGCCGCATCCTTGCTGCCACCGGTTCTGTCCCCCTCTCCTCCCCCTTAGACCCAAAACGCGTCAGCGTCTCCTTTATACCCTCAGACGGATCCGCCTCTCTCCCGGTACTCGTCAATGGTGAGCCTGAGAAGGTAGACGAAGTGCGGGCAAAGCAGATCCTCAGCGCTGAAGACTTTGAGATGCGCGTCCAATTGGGCCTGGGGAGCGAGAGTGCACAGTACTACACGTGCGATCTGAGCTATGTGGGTGCCTCCTTCGATTGTACGGAGGTGATTGACTAATGATTGGGTTTTTGTAGGAGTACGTGCGGATCAACGGCGATTATAGAAGTTAGACTTGTTTCCCGGAAGCTGAGCGCAGTTCTTGCTTGTAATAGATCGGAAATGCTTTCTGCCCGAGAAGAACACATTCTGTCTGCCAGCACACTGCTCGTTAGATTCCTTGAAATCTCGACAAAACAAAACGATTGCAAGTAGTGGATATCAATGTAGAAGTCCATTAGTCCGGGGGTATGCATGAGATAAAGCAGCGTCCACCACTTCTCGCGAGTTAATATGCTTAGAGGTATACTATATCACTCCCACACCAGCTTCCCCTTCTCATCCACCGCCGCGCTCATCCCCCCGCTCGGCTTCTTGCCCTTGCTGGCGTTGAACTGCTCCGCCATCCTTATTCTCTCCAGCTCGCGCTTGTGCTTCGCCAGCGCTGCCTGGCGCTCGGCTTCCGCTTGCACCTTTGCAGCACGCTCGGCCTCCTTCCGCGCAGCATTCTGCCGCTGCTTCTTAGTGAGCGTTTCGGGCGCTTTGAATTCGCTCGTAGCTGGAGGGGTTGCTTTGCGTCCTGGTCGACGAAAGGGTTACAGTTATGGTTACCGCGAGGACTGACGAATAGATAGGAAGACATACTCGAGCGACTCTTGACGACGCCCCAACCACCGTCGTCCTCCCCGTCCGCGTCGTCTCCTACGTTGACATCCTCGTAGTCGGCCCATGAGAACCCGGCCGCGGGTTGTTCGCCTGGCTGAGGCTGGACACGCATGACGCGCGCCACGCCTGGGTAGTCAGGCGTTTCTGTCATACTAGCAGAGGAGACGTTGGTCAACTGGACGGTGTGCAGAGACATGCCACGTACTCTTCGACTCCCGTCTTTCGAGGCTTTGGAAGCATCTTCTCAGCAAACGTCTTCCTGTTCACCTCTTCTGCCTCCTCTTCCGAGCGATCGCCCACGGACGAGGCGGCGAGTCCCGCATCACTCGTGTGCTCTGCGGACGGCGCGGCATCTGACGCCTCCTTCCTCCGCCTTGAATTCACCTGTGTCCAGGAGCTATCCGTGTCCACGGAAAGGGTTTCCTTCTGCTCGGGCTTGCCGCCTGCGGAAATGGGTTGAAGCGAATGGAGAGATGAGGAGGGTCCCGCGCCAGCGGACGAGTCCGATTGGGTCCCGGCGGGCGCGGCCCTCTTCGCCTTCTTCTTCTTTGCTTTCTTGACCTTTGGCTGGGCAGGCTCGGACGGCTCAAGCGACGCGTTCGACCCCGAGTCAAACTCGCCCGGTACGGACGCTACTGGTGGGAAACGCACGACAACGGGCTTCCTCTCCGTCTCTGTCTCGAGTGCTGGAGACGGAGACGCGCCGTCCGCTTTCTTCTTCTTCTTGTTTTTCTTCCCAGCCTGAGACTGCGTGCCTGCTGCCTGGACGAGCTTGTTGATCGACGTATCAAGGTGCGAGTCGGATTGATGCGCGCTCCCCTTGGAATACTGGATATACCCGTACGCGAGCGCGACGGCGCCGACAACGCTGGAGACAACAACAGTGCTAGACATGGAGCCCATAACGAGTCAGTTGGACGAGAAACGAGAGTGGAAGGGAATAAATTAGGGACACAAGGGCCTTGGTCGGGTCGTTGTACTTAACGAACACGTCAACAACTATAAATAACGCGTTCCGAGTGAGCGGGCTCATTTTTGTATTTTGGCCTCCTTCCATAATTGGATATGTCGCGGTAGCTCGCGATCGAGGTTCGATTCCCCGCACCCGAATCTTTTTTAGTTTTGTTTTGCCTCCCTCATCTCCGGAGGTGAAGGAGGGGACGAAGTATGCTCTCTCGACTTTCAGCTTATTCATAGGACCCATTCTGCCATCGAACATAGGAGCCTCAGCCACAGATACCCATATTTAGCTTGCCTATGTCCAAATGAGTACCTGGTTTCTTTAAATTGCCAAGCAGTGCCCAAGACAAACCGAGCCATATCACTCCGAGTGGAAATGGAGGTGTAGGCAACTGCTCAAATGCGTTGGGTGGGAGGAACTGTACGAAACACCTATGGATAACTGACCGTGTGAATGAAAGTAACACTACAACGCCATAGACTATACGAGTTCAATTGCCCCACTGGCACTCGCGCACCCCCGCTAAGCATTAATGCTCCCCACCCACGGGTTAAAGTTATAATAACTGCACGCATTCGTCACATACATACTCCCATACCCGTCAGCGATCTTATTTCCGTTCCTGATTATCTGGATGTACGGGATCTGTGAGTCCTCTGCTGGGAAGGGCACGGAGCCCATGGTCACTCCGGCATCGGCTTGGAACTCTGCGTGATTGGAGCCGATGTCAAGGGAGATCGTTGCGGGAGATGAGAGGATGGCCATGGCGAACACCGCGTCGGCAGGGAAAGCGGCGTTGCGGGGGAGGGTCCCAGTACTGTGGGACATGTCACATCAGAAATGCATACAAAGGGTATGCACAAGAGATGGCGTACCTGCAGGTGACGCCCTTCGGATGGGCACGGTACCAGAATACGACAGTGTCAGTCTATGAAAATTTCACAAAGGTGCATTAGCGGCCGAAGTTGTACCTAAAAGCAGGGTCAACGCCTACCGAAATACTCGGTGCTGTGTTATTCTTGTAGTTCTGGATGTAATACTGTGCAGGGATCCGCCAGTCCCCATGCACGAACCCGTTCACATAGTTCGGTGCGAGGGTACCAAGGTCCACGTTCGGATTGATGTCCCCACTTCCAGGCAAGCGAGTCAGCACTACACTTCGTGTTTAGAATAGATGCTCCGACCTACATGTAATGCGACTCGGCATAGTCGTTCCAGGTGACAATCTCGACAATGTCGGGGGCGACCTGGAGAGCCTGTTGCCAACGGTAGTTCCAGAGGTCATCGCTCAGCTCCACCCAGTTGTTGGGGTCTCCGAGGTTCTTGAACTGCCAAGGTGACACGGCTATATGCGGTCTAGTTGAGATCAGAGTTTGTACCATTCTGGCGGAACGTACCCATGATATAAGGGCCAGAACGGCCTGCGTCCTTTAAGGCGGATTGGTAGGCGACATCAGTGTCGGTGGTTAGTTTCGCGTCGACATCGTCCGGCCTGGTATACGTAGCACGGTCAAAAGCACACTAGTTGAAGAGCAGGAACACTGCATACCAAGACCACCAGTTGAAGAACCCGTCAATAGCGGGAAAGTTGGAGAACACGCTATCCGCCTTAGACGGGTCACGGTAGCTCGTGAACGCTGGCGCGAGCGAAATACTGATCCCCTGACTTTGCAAGCTGCTCTTGACGCCCGCCCAGAAATCATTACAATTGTTCTCTCCGGAGTAGGTGGATACCAGAACCTGGTTTTTCCACAGGTACGTCGACGGGCTAGACGCATGCGCGACAACGAGCGAAACGATGGCGTCCTGCGACCACTGGTAGGACATGTCGAACGAGTAGAGCAGCTTGAAGCCGAGGGCTTCGGCGGCGGTGTAGGCGTCGGCGATGCGGCTCGTTTCGTAGTCATCGACGGCTACGTTCAAAGCTAGCGTATTTTCTCGTCAACTATTGGATCTTGTCTTGGACGGAGATCGCCACCTACCGAACCCTTCGATACCGATGGATTGAGCCGTCTTGATATCATTCGTCCAGTCCGAGACCGAGTATGAATATGAGTTTTGTGCCTGGATAACATTCCCAAGTTATAGGATTCTTATGCATGAATGGAAACATATATCTTACCATGAAATGAGCAATCACGCTCCGCGCTTCAGCGAAAGAGCATAGTGCAGCACAGGCCCACGCGACGCTGAGCAGGCTGACCATCGCACAGGATAACTTCCAGCTGCAAGTATACAGTGGGTATCGATCCGACCGACATGCTCATACTCTATGGCCCCAACTCCCTTATATACCGTGCTCGTAATGAAAGCATCCGGAGAAGCGGAATGCAGTCATATAGGAGTGTCATTCGTGCAAATCGTCGCATTGTTGCCCGCACTACCATGTGCGCAAGACCCACCAAGAAAACCCAAGAATACCTGATCATCATATGGTGCGAAGCTTCGAGTCAAGAGCAAGATCGGATTATTCCAGGACCCCTGAAAATACCGATTGAGGTTGGATACCAATTCCGTAAAAAAGCCGGGTCTGAAGGCCGTATGTTAGATACAGTTGCGGTAAAAAGTGGAGAAGCGCCCAAGAGGCCAGATACTTGAGTCCCGGTAAATGTGAGGCACAATATCCCAAGGTCAGATACCAGTGTGGTATATACCAGGCTTCTTCCGGTCCTCAATCACTCGCTTGTGCAGCCACAATTGCCATAATGAATATTCGAAGGGAAATTGCACCGTTTAGGCAAGTATTAGCCCATATACGGCAAATTGTGGCTGAGCATGCCATATTGGGATTAAATTGGGGTGAAATAAACCCTTGTAGCGGGATCAAAATCCGGAGGTCGGATACCTGGGTCCCGGTAAATCTGGAGCCCGATGGCTAGGTTGGTATCGCGTCCCGTTAAAAACGGCCAAATTGGGCAAAATTCGGTCCCGGTAAAAATGAAGGAAAACAGGTCTTCTGGTATCTAACCTCCATCGGTTTTTTCAGGGGTCCTATTATTCCACACGTCCTAATGTGACATCTGTCACGCGACGCGCTGCTCAGGGTCACGTGATATTACAGAATGCCACCGACGCGTCGACGAAGCCTAAAGAATAGTACTTACGGTAGGGTTTCCGGTAACGTGTTCAGGGCTACCAATGCCCTGAATAGCTGGTATGTACAGCACTCCAGATTTTGCTGTGACCGTACCGGACATGTCAATACTCTTCTCGGTGCTAGAACATCACGAGTTAAGAAATGATGACCAGGGGACGTGCCACGATTATAAAATGTCAAGCTCTAGGAGTAGATGGACAGGAAGTACGTAGCACGCGGTTTGAGTTGGGAACGAATATAGGAGGCGATCCTGGATAGCATCAAGCCGTGGACTACCCAGCCGTCGTTCTGCGACTCCCTTCCGTCACAGATAAAGACGGCACGCGCCTGCTATATCAACCCCAGAACATATGTCAGGACAGCGATGCGGATTCTACGCGAAGCTGACGCGTTCACGCCTTAGGAATCTGGTGAGACGGCCAATCTTCAGCAGCCCAACCAACAACTGTCATAGAAGTATGAATCCGGTACAAGAGTTTTAGAACAGTATACTTCGTACAGAAACGACTGACAAAATAACAACGCGCACAAGGGTCCAAGAGCAAGCTGCTGTCCATCGGGTTGTTCGCCGGGACAGATCTTCCTCTCGGGTCCCCACTCAAGTCCGTGAACTAAGTTATCCAGACCGTTCTCTCCCTGCGCCATCACCCTCTTACTGTGCCGGAGCCGGGGCACTCTCTCGTGGCGCTATATGCATAGCGTTGAACTGCGATGCTAGCCCAGGCGCCCCGCCGTATCCAGGCCATCCTGACTCGTTTCCGCCCACACCTGGGCTCTTCGGGACAGGCGCAGGGGCAGCAGCGGACGGGGAATACGGGTCTACACCGTTCATGTACCCTCCGACATGATGCTGATCTTGACCTGGCGGCGCAGAGGCACCAACGCCGTCGCCCTGTTGATGGAACGACTGCGCGAGCGGGGACCCTACACGAATGTTCTCCTGCTGCTGACTGAATGTGCCGACGGCAGAGGGGGAATGGGGCGCATTATGGGGCACAACAGTCGATGCAATGGACGGATGCCTTCCCAGCTGAGATTCGCCGGGGCCGGGCTGAGGACCATTAAGATCCGTTGCAGATGCCGGAGCCGTCTGGTACGGTGACGGCGTTCCGAGACTGGTCTGCGAACCATTGAGATGCTGTTGCCCTGCATATCCCGAGCCTGTGAGATCAGTGCTCGAATGCTGTCCACTAAGCTGAGCATAAGGATTATATCCTCCCTCCGACTGCGGACCAGGATGAGTTGCACTACCAGGAGTCTGCGGCGGAGGTTCCTTTACCCCCGGTACGGAGATAAAGTACACAGAGCCGGTCGGGTCTTTCCCGCCCTGGGCATAGTACTGCGCCCACGCCTGCACATTCGGATCGGGGTACGCTGTCGACGGGTCATACATATACGGCGGTCCCTGCGGCGGCCCGCCAGACTGCTGTCGCTGCGGTTCGGGTTGCGCCTGACCCGGGGGCTGTGGCTGCGGCTGGATTTGTGACTGCGAGAGCGAGGCTTGTCTTACGTGAGCTGAATTCTGAGCCTGCTGAGTGGGTGTAGTCTGCTGCTGCACCGGCGCTGCAGCGTACGGAACCGCCTGGGCTTGCGGGGCAGGTGTCGGCTGCGCCGCAGAGTACGGAGTCGGAGCCGCTTCAGTTTGCGGAGGGATATACGACGATCCACGCGACAGGTTCCCGTACGGCTGCTGGGGGTACGTGCCAGGCTGTTGCCCCGCATACGCGTTAGGGTCGGCGTACTGCTGCTGCGCTGGCTGAGAAGGCGGGTATCCGCCTTCCTTCCCGGGCACGTACGGCGCCGCCGGGGCAGGGTATGCATTGTACCCTGGCTGATTGTATACGGTTGGGTTCCAGCCATACGCTTGAGGACCATAGTCCTGGCCCGGGGCGGTACTGGCCGGCCGCTGATACGCGGCTGCAGGACGGTATCCGTCGTACCCTAGGACGCGGTTATGGAGTGAGAACGCTACCATCTTGGTAGAACTGGAATGAGGTACCTTGGGTGTGGCGAGCTAAACTTTCTTCCATCATACGCTCGTAGATAGTCCTGGCTTTGATAAAGCCTTCATTCATGGATATCAGATCCGCTACGGAAATAGCAGCTCAGGGCCCGCATGTTTTCCATCATATGCTCTGAAGGCCTACCTCGCTTCTGGCTGTATTTCTCGATCAATTTCACGATTTTCGGGCGGAGGGACATACACTGCCTATAGAGTTCCTGTGGTCGTCCATAATGAGTCATGATCACGTTATAGTTAGAAACATGTGCTCACTTGGATCTCCTCATTGTCGGCAAGGTTGTCCTTCGCAGGATCAAGGTGCCGCAAAAGAGTGAGCAACCGGTCGACGTTCATAGCTTGGTAGAAAACAGCAGCTTCTTGCTCTGCCTCTCTGGCCAACTCGGCAGGAGTAGGTTCGGGCAAAGGTTCCTAAAGGTGATTATGGTCGCTGTGCCAGAATAGCAAGCGAATGTTACTCACAACATAGTTGACTGGGAAAATACCAGTGCGCCCCTTCAGCTGGCCACGCCACCAGTCCTTATAACCCCTATCCACGACCTTGATTATATCACCCTTCTCAAATGCCAGCTCGCCGGGCTCAGAGGGCTCGAATGTATGCAACGCGCGAACTCTGGTGACGATCGGCTGGGATGCAGGCGCGGGCGGCGACGTACTGGGAGCCGGTCCGAAAGACGAGGCTGAAGACGTCACCGAAGAAATAGCAGCTGGTGTCTGGCCACGCGAGATGTCAGGACGTGCAGCGGGAGCGTATCCGCCCGCGTAGCTCGGGGTGGATGGCTGGGCGTAGCTGTCCCGTCGGTATGAGGACGACGAACCCGCTGCTGCGGATGAGCCGGCCCCAGACGTGGAGGGGGAAGCACCGTAACCAGCGCTGGAGGACGATCCGCCAGCGCCACTGGAGGAGTAAGCAGAGTATTCAGCCCACTGGGTGCGGCCACCCTTGTCCTGAACGGACATCTCTAGAGCACGCTGGAGCTCCTCTTCTTCCTTGCGACGAATCTCGTCATCTACGTCGGGCGGCGGAGGCTCCTGAGGAGTCTCAAATCTGTAATCTAAGGCGTTGTCAGTCCTATGTGATCCCGGCTGTCAATGTGAAGCCACGGACTCTTGGCTTTCAGATTGTTGTATAAATCCTCCATGATCCCCAGGCTAGGGTCTTTCTCGAACTCGGCAGTCCATGTTGCAATGAGTGATAATGCTCTCCGCCGTACTTTGTCGTGGGACGTCTGGGATCAAGACTTGAGTTGCGGCATCCGTATCATGCTTCACAGTGCATACCCGATCGGTCACTAGCTTCTCCAACGCTTGAGTGAATGCACGAGAGGCGATCTCGCGATGGACTTCAATTCCGCAGTTCTTCTGCAACGACTCCACCAGAGACAGCGAATATAGCTGCACGTTGGGATTGCGATGGGCCAACCGCTTGATGACGGACGCGATAACATTGCGGGCTCTGTGTCGCAAGGTAAGCACTCCAAGCTATATGGTCACTGCAATACTACTTGCCCTGTCTCCCCCTCATCTTGTACTTTATCACATAGATTCAATATTAGTTCCCAGTTCTCGGAGGTCAGATTCTCATCAGTAGTCTTGACTAGGAGATACCCCTCAGCAACTTATGCCACAGCTGGCAATAAAGGAGTCACAGCTCACCGACTATCTCGTCGTACGGGTTCGGTTGGCCTGCCTTGAACATGGTCGTCGTCGAGGTTGGCTGCGAGTGCGATCCTGATGATGTCGACCGCTGCGCGTCAGGCGGGCTGGCGGCGAATGCCGATCGAATTACGCGCCTGGTCAGAAATGCGGTGCTCGAAGCCGCCACACCGGTCAGCCCTGCTCTGCTTTCTGCCACAACCTCGCGTCCATGGCCAAGAGTATGTCATCTTTTATTGCAGAAACTGCGCTTTAGAGCTGACTACGCGTTCCGCAGTACCGCGTAACTTCCGCCTCCTTGAGGAGCTCGAGAAGGGCGAGAAGGGTATCGGCGATGGGTCCTGTTCATATGGCCTGGAGGACGGTGACGATATGCTGATGAGCAGCTGGAATGGGACCATTATCGGCCCTGGTCATGTACGCAGATGTGCCCTTTTGATTCACCGCTCCCGTTTGGCTGATTGACTTCGATCGGACCCTTGTGGCAGACCGTGCACGAGAACCGCATATACAGTCTGAAGATCCACTGCGGCGATGACTACCCTGAACGGCCCCCCACTGTCCAGTTCATCTCGAAGGTGAACCTGCCTTTCGTGAGTCAAACCGACGGCAAGGTGGACCCGTCCAAATTGCCCGTTCTGGCGCACTGGAACCGGAATCACAGCATTGAAACGGTGCTCGTGGAGATTAGGAAGTCAGTGCACTTCAGTGTGCTTTCGTAAGCGCGTTACTAACAATACTACTCTAGGGAGATGGCGTCCTTCAACAATAGAAAGCTTCCCCAGCCTCCGGAAGGCAGCGTCTTCTGAGCGTTGTCTCCCGTCTTGCTCCGGTTTCGAATCAAGGAGTCTCTGGTCTCGTCCGCATTGTTTTACTTAGCAGCATCCATTCTATCTCAGGTTCTATGCACTGAAATCTGTATCCCTTTACGCCCCATTTGTCCTTGATCCCAAACGATGTGTTATCAGACCTATCATCTATACAATTTCAGATAATGAGTCAGTGTACATTCATCCAGACATCCTGTTACGAGGTAGATCGCACGAAGAGCAGATGTAAGATGATCAATTGAAGAGACGTAAGAACATCGTAAGACGTAGTCCCGAGTGACACAAGCACGTAGTACAAGCAGCAGCAGCCGGAGGGTCGATAATTTATAGCTACAAATAAGGTTACATTACTACCCTTTGATTCTATGCGTTTAAGCCAACTCAGCGAATCCGACCTGGCTGTTGCCGACGTCGAACGCGGTGTAAACGTTCTGCAAGAAGACGTCGCCGACAATCCAGAAGTCTGGCACCGAAGGAGTGAGCATTGGGTACTCCGCGAGAGCAGTAGAGACGCTTACCACCAAGACCATCCTGAGCAGCGACACCGCCGACACAGTCAGACGAGCCCTCCTGTACGGCACCCAAGCTGAAAGTGTCTGGCGAGACGTCGAATGACTTGCCAGCGAACGTGAGGCTGAGAGTGGGGATAGAATCGCAGGGAACTGAAAAGGATCCGAAGGTCAGATCATTTGAGCGCCACATAAGTCGCGGGTGGCCGTCAACTTACCAGTGTAGTATCCCTGTCCGATGGTCTCGGAAGCATCCTGGGCACCATCGATGGCGTCGTAAAGCTGGGCAACGTTATCAGAGTCGCCGACGATAAGAGTGGTGCCAGTGTCGATGATGGAGGAGAGGCCAGTAACGGCCTTCTTGCCGCCGACGCTCACGGCATCAAGGTCGACCTGCCAGTACCCCTCCTGAGTGACCGGGGCGTACGTGAAGTCGCCCGAGTACTTGCTGGAGTCGGTCCCACCGAGGTCGAGCTCGGCGCCGGACTTGGACAGCTTGAACGCGAAGACGGGATCCGACGTCACGCCGTCGGCGACGAGCGTCTGGAAGAAGGGGTTGGCGTTGTACTCCGAGATGGACTTGAAGGCCATGCCCAACAAGCCGTCCGCTGGGAAGTTGTCAGAGGCGAACCCAGTAGAGTACTGGTCGGCCGCTCCCAAAGCCTGCTTCTTGGCCTGTACAGCGGGTCAAGGGCCGTCCGGAACATAGAAGCGCATGAACATACAGTGAGACCTGCAATGGTCACTGTGTCGGTGTACTGCTCGCCAGAGACGGTGGAACCGTCCCCGTATTGCAGAGAGAAGTCCTTGTTACGGTCGGACGAGGTGGAACTTGAGTCGGGGTCGTATGTCTTGTGTCCCGAGCAGTTCTCCGAGCAGTCAGGGCCCGGCAGGAACAAGTCACTGCTACCCGTGTCGAAGTCCACTGCGTTGATGAGGTTCAGTTCCTGCCTGATGTACCGTAGAATTTGGCATACCAGTGAACTCCTTGGCAGGGGTACCGACGGAGATGCTGCCGTACCACAGCTGCTCAGCATCATCGGTGAGGGAGTCGCTCCCGGTGTCCCGTTTGCTGGCCTTCTTAGCAGCTAGCGGGTGTGCCGAACCGGTGTTCCTTTCGTAGGTCGCGAAACCTTTCGCAATTTTACTAAGCAAGAAAGATGTGTATGAGCATCGCGCATCCCAGATGATAGTCTGGTACAAACCCAGTAGCATAGGCTAAGTGGTTCTTTAGGGCCTGAGCGTTCGCCGTACCGTCGGGGTTGACCAAGCCAGACCGTCTTTGGAGGGGAATCTTGGTGCCAACCTTGGGCGCCGTAGGGGCGGCAGCAACCAGGAAGGGCAGAGCAGCAAGGACGGTGGCAGTCGAGAAACGCATGTCGACGGAGGAACGTAGAACAAGTGCTACGAGAGGAAAGACCTGTGAGCGGTGAGGTACTGGCTACAACTTGTCAGGTCTTTTATACCATAGCTCGCATAGACTCATTTCGGCCTCGGAATATGTCTGTCCGGGAGTCTCGTGTCCGGAATGAAGACTGCGCGTGCAATTGTGGAGTGAGTCCGCCTGCCTGCCTGATGCATGTCGTTGTACAGCTTCGAGGATCATGCTTGGGGTACAACTATTTTTATGCACAAAGCGCAGGAATGTCGCGAAGGTGAGGCTAAAGATCGGAATCATAGGTTTATTCGGCTGGTTTTTTTACCGTTGAGAAGCAAGAAGACGCACTGTTCCCCGCATAGGATAATAGACGGGTATCTTGGGGTTTCTCGGGAAACTACGATGATTAGGGATAGGCTGACAGGTAGTACTTATGCAGCGTTGATGCATGTTCACCCTCGTCGGCCAACGGCCGATAAGAAAGTGGAACGAGCATCACCGGTGCATAGGCGACCAGTAGTACCACTGTAGAATTAATTCCGGCGACTCTTGTAATGTGATGTGAAGCTTAGCTCGGACCGAGCGACGAGCTCATAGCAGAAAACTTCGGCGGCTAGCGTTATCACGGTTTAGCGCAAGCTTGGTTAACGGGATGTCGCAAGCTTCGTCGACGTCGATGTCGGCATGCGTCTTCCACTTTACCGACGTCGACGCTCCTCCGCCACATGTCGGCTATTTCCGCGTACAATGCTTCCTCAACATTGCGATGGCCGGGTGGCCGAGCGGATCGCTCTCCCTAACGCCCAATTACAAGTAACACCGCCTCATCTGTCTAAAGGCATACGGTATGGCAAGCAACAATATGGGCAATAGCGCTCAAGAAGCTGCTTGCACATGCAAGGGTATCAACAGCACCGTCGGGATTAACAACGCTGAGAAAGGCGTGGGTCGCGAATGTCAGTGCGATAAGGCGTTGAACACCTCTCCGGAGCTACAGAGGCGCGGTCACAACAAATGGGTAGCCCGACTCGCCATGCTGGGGCTGGTTCTATTGCTCCTACGGTCGCTTCGTACCGGATCACCCTCTACCATCTATGGGTCGGAGAATGACGAGTTCCTGTGCGCACAGACTCGCCCTATCACCCCCTCCAAGCATGGAGAGTTACTGAAGACTCTGGATGGTGTTCATGCGAATCGAGAGTTCCAGCTGAAGGCTTACGAGTCCCTGGGAGGGGCTGTCAGGATTCCGTACGCCCGCGTGCAGTGTGAATAAAGTGACATGACTTATGACCAACTAGAACTCAGACATGGGACGACTACAGCCCTCCTGGAGAAGATCCCCGTTGGGAGGTTCTCGATCAACTGCACAGTTACCTTGCTGACCGATTTCCTCTCATGTGCGTCGGACGCATATGATGTCTGGATCCCACTTATGGTCACCTTGGTAGACACGCGAAGTTGAACAAGACATCCGTGAATCATTACGCTCTTGTATACTCTTGGAAGGGGAAGGATGAATCCCTGAAGCCCGTCTTACTGACTGCGCATCAAGGTCGATATCTTACTCTGCCGGAGCTTTTCTCACCGCTCCTGTGCTCATGGTATCCTGGATTTGAAATGCAGATGTCGTGCCCGTCGACCCGGTGACGATCGACCATTGGGTTCACCCCCCATTTTCGGGGTATTACGATGGTAGGCTCTGCCCGAGTCGTTCTAATCTTGCTGTTGAGAGTAATTGATCCTACAGGCGAGTGGATATGGGGCAGAGGCTCCTGTGATGATAAGTCAGGTCTCATAGCCAGCCTGTGAGTGAACGACGGGCGAGCTTGGCACAGTCATGCTCTGACAGACTCCTATCGTAAGGACTGCGGTCGAAACTTTGCTGGAGAAAGGCTTTGAGCCGACTAGGACATTTGTGCTAGCATACGGTATCGACGAAGAGCGTGGCGGTATCTACGTGGGTGACCTATAATTGACGTTGCTCACCGACCTGCAGTATTTTGATACCCGTTCAGGGCGCAACTGCTATCAGAGACCACTTACTATCTGTCTACGGCCCTGATTCGTTTTCTCTGCTCGTAGACGAGGGTGGTGGGTAGTTTAGTCATGTCTTTCTAAAGCCTTTCAACGCATGAGAACATTAGGTGGGTACGCCGAAGAGAATGGGCTGATCTGGTCTCAGCCTGCGGTAGCCGAAAAGGGTCAGTTGAACGTTCGCATGGAGGTCAACACTCCAGGCGGGCATTCCAGTAGACCTCCCGCGCACACCGTGATTATTCCATTTACCCATCTTCTACAATGATAATCTGACGCGCATAACCTTCCCCCAGGGCATTGGCATCTTAGCATCCCTAATCACACGCCTCGAAGATAACCCGCACGTACCACACCTCTACCGCGATGGGGCGTACTACAAACAACTACAGTGCCACGCTGAGCATGACTCGAAGCTCCCTGCGACCCTCCGGCGTATGATCAAGGAGTCAAGGGAGAGCGATGCTGCCTTGAGGCAATTAGAGGCGGAACTCGTGGCGTCGCTGCCGACGTTCAAAGCCATAGCTGGCACTACTCAAGCTGTCGATGTCATAGAAGGCGGCGTCAAAGTCAATGCGCTGCCGGAGCAGGCTCACGTCATTGTTAACCATCGGATAGCTGACTATAGGTGCGAGCGACCCCTCCAGCCTCCAGCGAATTAGGATTGACCTGCCAGATAGTTCTGTCAAGGAAGTTCAAGACCGCTTTTCGGGCGTAATCAAGCCAGTTGTGGAGAAATTCAACCTCTCATTGGACGCATTCGGGACGTTATACGGGGACGAGTCCAATCCCGGTCACGTCCGATTATCGGATGCCTTTGGCAATGCTCTGAACCCTGCACCGGTCACCCCCACAAGCGGAGACGTCTATGAGTTTATGTCGGGAACCATCCTGGCTACACTTGGACGCTCATTCAGAGAACGAGAGTCGAAGACCAGAGCAGTCGTAGCTCCGGGCTTGTCACTTGGTAGGTCATACGTGCTGGCAAAGAATCGTGTGCCCTGATCTCCTTGCTCGTTTGCAGGTAATACTGGTAGGTTACTTGCGAGCTGCAGTCGTGCCTGAACTAATCGGATGAGTAGATACGAGACACTACTGGAACTTGACGCAGCACATCTTCCGCTATGGCCACCAAGATGCGCGCGATTCCTATAACGGAGCGCACACCGTAAACGAAGGTATGCCACCCGTCAATCAAAACATGCGGTGAATTCAGCTCGTCCTGTAGCGAAGAGAGCCGAGGGGTTCCTGGAGATGATACGCTTCTTCAACCTCCTCATCTTGAATGCGGATGAATCATCCTTGCTGTGATATTCGTGGAGACGCGAACGTCGTGACCGAATGTAAGAACACGGACGAACGGCTTGCATATGCGTTGTAGCAGTGTGCCGTCTAGATGTCTAGTGCCCCAGTCTCGTCGGGATTGACAGGCAATTACCGAGTACGAATCCTGAGGCTAAGAGGACCATGTTCTTCGTCATCCTAGTGAGTACAGTCCTCTATCACCGGGATGGAAGTAGCAGGGTAGCTTCTCCGCGACCTTTCCTTTCTTTGGCCGTGGACGCTCAGCGCTCGGCAGTTGTCCTGGTCGTTGCATGAAGGTTTCACAATCGTGCCGCACAGCTGTCCGAGCTACATACCTCCTGCAGATCTTGCGGAAGAGGCGGGGTATTCTTGACGTCGTCCGTTCTACGTGCTATGGTCTTGGGAGAGTAACGAGCTCCCTATATATACTACGTCTCGGCCGCTTAGGACATTTCGGTCATGACGTGCGAGTCCTGTCGAAATGCTTCAGACTGCACTCGGCCCAAGGAGGGGCGCGGTAACGAAAGCTAACGCGATGAGTCCAGCGGAGGACTGGGAACTCGTCTCACGACGTGATACGTGCCAGGTCGTGTCAGGTTCTTGAAGAACCCTATGAGGCACTCTTCCTGCCGGACAAATGGATCTTTATCAGTATGCCATTGAACTCTTCAAACTTGTAGTCATCCCGGGTAAAATGTGCAGGATGCTGGGGTAGAGACACATTTACTGAAGTTTCAGCGGGTCAAAACCACCAAAATGAGAAGCTATTTGAGAAGTCAGGATAGCTTTTGGGAGCATCGACCTCCAGAGTATGCAGCTGCTCGTACTAGTAAGTCAGTCTTGGCCATGGCCTGTCCCGCCATGGATCCATATCTGCTTCCTTTAGGCCCATCAGAGTGAGGTGCGGCGCAAGAGACTCATAGGCCCTCCACTATCAACCCCATGGCTATGCCCTTGATGTCAGCAAAAGGTTGGTGATGGACAATCAGTCCAAAGACCCAACGCTGAACTCAGGGCTGACGTGTCGAAGTGCCAGGGCACAGGCGAGGCATGTTGCCTCTTTCAAAGTGCATCGGCCTCCTGAACAAGAGAGGCGAGAGTTGTAGCCTATGGGAACCAGTATCAATGGAGACGCGAGACGAGAAGGCGCAGGTTGAGGCAGCGGAACGGGTTGATTTGAGGAGACGCAGCCAGGAGCAAGCGTCGACTGGGAAGTCAACGCCAGTCTTGCACATCGCAAATGCGCAAAGGTGGGTCAGGACGCGTCATTCAAGACTGGATGACTTCCCGTAAGCATTTAGAACGCGTTTTGAGCAGTTCTAAATCTCTAAACGCATCAAGCCGAGATGCCGTCTTGTCACGCTCTCGCTTAGACCAAGTTTTGATGAGGCTCGTCGAGCAAAAACCGTCTCTAAACTTTAAATCTAGCAGGGGGGGTCGACCCCCCTTTCCAAATCTCCAGACGACTCTAAACGCTCGCTTAGCCTTGGGTGAGGTCCGCGTATCAAACCTGCCATCAGCACCTGCCAAATTGAGCGATCCGCTCGCCATAAATGGAAAGCGACCTCATGGTCGTGACTTGCAGTCGTCGAGCGTTGGTCTGGCATTACGGATGGGAGGAACGGTTCTATTTTGCCATTGCACCGTGGCAGCGAGTGTGACCAGGTACGCTGATGGCGTTTAGAACTGCGAAATCTAGGATTTTGGCTTACGGGAAGTCATCCACTGTCCGGTATCGCTTTCTTGAGCCGCGAGGAACTGCCTCGGATCTGGGACAAAGATCCCTGACCAGATGGTATAGCACTTGCCAGCAATATCATATACGTCCCCGCGCACTATTCCCCGCATCGGGGCAACGCCGCCCCCACAGCGGCCAGGTTGATGTGGCGAGGGTGTTTTGCTCGAAAGTCAGCGTCCCTGATAACCTGATGATACTTTTCCCTGTTCTTCTCCGACCGCTATCGTCGGGGGTGAGTTCCGTCGTGGTCGGTCAGCATGGTCGATCATAGGACGGCCGGACATTGTGGCCAATTGTGGCAGCCGGGCGGCGCCCCACGGCAGGATCAAACCGGGGACTGTGCCTGTGGGCAACCCCGGAGCCGACCCCGCACGCTCAATTTTGCTAACGAATTGTTGTTTCGACCAGCACCGTGACCTGCGCCCTCGCCCCTTGCTCGTCGTTTTCGATT